CCGCGCGAGAAGACTTCGCGGAGGTCGGCCGGTATCGTGACGATGCCGTTTTCGTTCCGTGCGCTCTTCTGCTCGGTGTGAATTACGCGGTCTGCCATGCCGTCGCAATCCTAAGGAAGAGCCGATTCCCACCTACGCGCCTTCTCTCTTTCGATTTTCAGAAATATCTGGTCGTCGTATGTCGTAACGGAGTCCAATTTCGCGGAAAATGTTTGCCACGACTGTCCTGAAAGTAAATTACGTAAAGAGCGATGTTCCATCATCGCATACCGGGTGCATCGTCCGCGAGTCGCTAATACAGAGCTGCATCTTGCGGCGAAGTTACCTGCAGAAAATCGCAAGATCTCCAGCAGGAATGAAGCTTCGCGAGTAAAGATAAAAGGCGATCCCCGCGCGCCCCGTCGCGGCGCGTCGTGTTGCATTGCGTAGCGTTGCATCGCGTTTCGTCTCGTCTCGTCTCGTCGCGGCATTCCAGCGCGTCCTTCACCTCAAAGGGAGAGGAGCAGTCGCGTTTTATTTTCATGCTTTCGGTTGGCGCTCGTGCAATTGCATAACGGTCACGCACACACACGCACACGCGATCGCACACGGACGTGTGACGAGAGAGAGACGTAAAACGCGTGCAGGATCGCCGGCTTTTCGCATCACATGCACTCGCTTGCGTGTGCGTACATACTCCCGTCGAGTTGCATAAGAATTCGTTCGTTCGTTCGCTCGCTCGTTCGCTCGCGTCGCGCAGAATTGCACCGGTGCGCAACAAAGTAGCTGTGTGATTCGCTAAAATGGAACCGGCGGTGTTTTAGACGGGCAGGCACTTAGCGCCGACACACACGCGTGGCCGCTTACTTACGCGATTTTACGGCTTTCCGCGCCTGTGGCCGTGCGCGCGTACGCGCGCACATAACGGTACCTCGTAAAATTATTTTGCAATGCGAGATGGGGGGCGAGGTGTGCACGCTCGGATTTAATCATAATCCGCCGTAGCTTATAGCGAGCGAATGAGGCGGGACATGTGTTGGAGAGATCACGTTGAAGTATTGATAGGTTTAAACCACTTGCTACTCGGCTTCAACCGCCGCCGCCGCCGCCGCCACCGCGTGGCGTCGGTCGTTCCGGCACACTTTGCGTTCCAAAATTAGTCCGCTCGAGCCGGCCTGTCGGGCGCGCGCGGCGTCTCGTCGATTAGAATGCCACCCTCCTTCGAGAAAATCCGATAACGCAGTAACGTAATGACGCGGCATTATGCGGCCAGCAAATAGACGAGCGCGCGTCATTAGCGTTAACCGCGCACGGCGCTGCGCCGCGCCGCCGAGACCGTGCGCTTCAAAACACGGAAGTGTTTACCGGCGAACTTGTCGCGATTACGGCTCGCCTCTTTGCGACGGGGAAGCGACGGTAAACGACGCGGCAATTATTCGAACGTTACCTGCGATCAGCGATCAGAAGTTTCCCATGCGTAATCCGCTGCGCGCGCACGCACGCACGCACGGTTGTTTGCTTGCGAGGAGGCGCGTTTCCGTTCAGACCTCGAGTATAAAGCCCATGCCACATTATAGATCGGAGACTGAGAATTGCGGATTGAAGATTGGAACTTGACCAATTGGAACGAAGCAAGCCAAGACCGAAGTTTGTTGATCCGTCGAAATCTAATCTTCAATTCGCAATTCTCCATTTTCAATCCGTAACGTGACACGGGCTTAAGGGAGAATTCACACCTTGGCAAAACAGCAGAAAAAGGCAAAAACCAATCAGAAGCCAGTCAATAGAAAAGCAGAAACTGTCTGTTACCATCTGACCATCAGTGCGGGTTCTGATTGGCTCCTACCTTTTTGCTTTCTGCTTTTCTACCAAGTGTGAACTCTGCCTAAATCAGTCTTCATAGTCTTGGTAACAGAGCGAAAAACAGAACGATAGAAGCCAAACAGAACTCGCGCTGGCGGAAAACAGAAACTGTCTATTATCATTTGGCCACTAGCGCAGGTTCTGATTGATTTCTGCTTTTTCGTTTTCTGCTTTACTGCCAAGGTGTCAACTAAGTCCGCACCTTGGCAGAAAAACAGAAGCCAATCGCGCTGGCAGAAAAACAGAAACTGCCTGTTACCATCTGTCTATCAGGACGGCTTCTGATTGACTTTTGCTTTTCTATTTTCTGCTTTTCTGCTAAGATGTGAACTGTCCCTAAATTAGACTTCACATCTTAGAAGAGCAGAAAACAGAAGTTAAACAGAACTCGTGCTGGTAGAAAAGCAGAAACTGTCTATTACCCACCAGGACAGGTTCTGATTGGCTTCTGCTTTTCTACCAAAGTGTGAACTCCCCCTAAGAAAATGCTCTCGGTCAAGAGAAAGAGACTCGCTCGCACGTAAACAGCTGTCGCTCGGAATTGTATGCGCTTGGTGTTCGGAAGGCGCGATACTTCCCCCCAAATGGATGTGGCCGGTCGATTAACGGATTAATCGCTCTCGTCCGCGCTTTCATCGGCAGCTGACGTGCGCGCTCGATAATACGGCGGCCCGTTAAGAACGCTAACGGGAACGTCGATATTCGCGACGACTGACGAGTCGCACGATGTCGCGCCACTGACTACGTTTTCGGCGAATCTCGGCCTCCCCTCGGGCTCTGCTCCGCGAGAGTATCGATTTACGCAGCAACTGACGCGACCCTCCGATCCGCCTTCCGGTCTGCCGTGAACGCACCGTTGGTCGCGCGACGTTGAACGAGATAGAAAATATTTCATTGTGCTGTTGCGCGAGAAAAATGGTTTGGTTGATTCAGCAATTCCGCTTGCTGCGGAATATTAAACGTTACAACTAAGCAAATTTGCTAGTACAGCGAACATATTAGGTGTGGAAGCACTTATCAACCCGCTCTCACAAAGCAAATCCATTTCTGTTGATATTATTACAGTTACTGCAACAAATTCCGTATTTCGAGCTAAAATTAAAGTTTTACGAAGCAGATCCATCATAATTTTACCAGACAAATCACGGAATTATTCAACAATGAAGAAATGTTTTTGTTCGTTTTACGGAAAAGTACTCTCCCATGTTTTTTTATTATTATATATTTTTTTTTATTATTTGGTAAGTTACAGAGTAAGTATTCATTTACTCACTCAGAGACATTTCAATGCAAATCTTTGCTTTAGCTAACTTATATATATATATATATATATTCGTATTATTATATATTTAATATATTATCATATTTAATATATTTAATATATTATCATATATTTAATATATATATTATCATATATTATTATATATTATATATATATATATATATATATATATATATATATATATATATATATATATTATATATATATATTCGTATTAGTAATTGACGATTTAGCTATTTTGAAATCCGTTACTCTGTACCAAGTTTCCTTTAATATGCCACAGCAAAAACATTTATTGCATGTGTATCAATAGCTATATTTCCCATTAGTTGTGGTTCTTTCAGAATGCCAAGGTTATTATCGATATCTTATTATGAACGTTGTTAAGAATCTTGAGAGAAAAAGAGTGAACTTTTTAGCTGGGATATGTACCTGGCTCTTTTCAACGCAGGGTATTGGAAATTCGTTAAATGCCGTGGGTCACCTGGACGGTTACAGTTTCTGTTGGCGCAACGTTACCGTTAGCCACGGTTACGCAATGGCGAATTGATCCTTCGGAAATGATAAGCATGTTACATAAGATTTCTCGCTCACTTGCAACGACGTGATTTTCACAGTAATTCGCGTTCAGGTTCCCATCGATGCGAACTGAAAATTTTCGCAATTTGTTGATCCGGTTTCACCGAGATCCTCGACGATCTCGGTGTCCCCCTGATCGATATCTCTACACGTAACGTCTATATCTTATCTTACATGTGCGCGAGAATACTCGAAAATTCTCTCGTATACACACACACACACACACACACACACCGACGTAAGGATGCGGCGGCATTCGAGAGTTCCATGTACCGCGAGCTCCGCTTTTTCTCGTCAAGTCGACGCGGCGTAACGGCAAGCTGGTAGCAGTCGGTAGTAATAAAGGAATAACGGAGCGTTTCCGCAGTTTAAAACGCGCACGACCCGACGATTCTTTTTAGTATCAGTCTCGATCGAGTTCGGCCTCGCGAATGTAGCGCTCCCCTAAGCGCATTTTATCGCTGCGTTTGAGGCGTCAAAAAAGGCCGCGTATGCATGTGCGATACGATTTCATCTGGTAATTCACTGCATTATAACGGGTTCGGCCGGTACGCTTAACGTCCGCGATACCCTGTTTGTTTGCCGGTGACTGAGCGGTAAAACTCCGACCTAAAAATACGTACGCTATTACTACGATGAAGAGAATTACACTACATAGCAGTAATCACATGTAACATTGCCATCTGATTTAATAACAGGCTATTATCAAATGATAACTGTTAGTAAATTCCTTACATTAACATACCATCTTGCAATAAGTCGCTATTAATTTACTAATACAATTTTAAGGAGTTTGCAAAGTACATCAGTATTTTAATCATTTTGAATTTTACCTTAAGAAAAAAGGATGAGCCTTCGAGCCGTACATCTCGGTGGAGTATACTAAATTTTCTTTAAATTTGGCATATGAAGGATTTCGGGGTCGTTGATTACAAATTCGAAGTCAAAAAGTTAAAATTTGAAATGGCGAGCTCAACATGGCGATTATGAGTCTCCAAAATTAGTAATCTCAAAATTGGTTTTTAGCATTATCTGGAAATAACACTTCCTCGATATGGAAAAAAGATATTTGTGTTTTCGACGACAAACTTGCGATAAACGTATTATCAATATTTCAATAATTTGTGAAAAATAGAGTTTACTAATTATCTTTAATAAACTGTTAGCGTTTTGATGTGTCGATTCCTAATAGTCTAATTAGCCTTAAAATAATTTTTGTCAGAAAAAACTTTTTTACTTTCATTTGCTTTTAATAATTTGGCAATTAAACATTCAAGTTATTTTTTACTTATTTTTAACTCTTTATGTTTATGAGGAACTATATAGTAATAATATAATCGACTATATCGGCTATATAAGTTAGTTAATCCTTAACTATCTAATTTCTCATGTTTAAAAATTCTTTCATATAGGATGTTTAAAACTAAAGTACATACAACTCAACGCGTATAAGAAATTTTATTTTTCTAATTTTTTATTTAAATAGATTATGTGACTCTGAGGTCACGTTGGACAGTTACTATCACTGTTAACATATGAAAGAAGGCAGCCATATTGTGACTTTCACATCACATCAGTCACAGGAACAACATTCATATTGATGATAAATAATGATGAAACTGTATTGTGTGACCTCAGAATCACAGTGGGCAGTAGAAATTTAAACTCACTATAAATGAAAAAAAGATAGGTAGAATGCTAGTTGGGTCACAGTGAGACACTGTGACCCAAAGAAGACCCAGAAAATGATAAACTGTTGGATGTTGATTAGTCATTAGCGCACTTATGGATTAACAGCTAATTTTCATAATCTCGACCCCACGCATCAGAGAGAATCTTGGTCATTCATCAACGATCAAATTAATCACCGCGCGAACCATCACGCAACGTTGGCACAGTGAGAAAACGCCGATGAAACGCTTCGCGCTTCCTCTCCCACGCCACGCCCGCCTCCTCAACGCTCACTCGTCGCTCACTTAGGACGCGGTCGATTTAATTCGAACGACTTGCTTTACGAGGATGCATAAATCCCTAGACCCAAGGATTGTTCTTCTCTTCTTCGAAGAGCTGCCTACAACTGGTGCACACTGATGCAACAAATTTGACAGAGCCAAGTATAGATCGTTTCACTCTAACTGATTGCACCAGTTCTTGGGAAGTTCTTCGGAAAAGAATAGATCTCCAATCCCCGCGGGAATCGCCAGGAATAATAGAATAACTCCGCGGCTACCTCCAAGACGCGAATGGACTGGAGGACGAAGAGAAGAAAAGAGAAGGTAACACGACAGACGATTCATCGGTGCAAAGGGAACGAGGAGGAGAGAACACAAGCGTGACTTACGTAAAACGGACACCTGCTTCATTGTTGAAGCGGCTTAGCGCAGTCGACGTTCTCCGCGTACCCACGAGGAGACCTCGCACCTTCCACGCTTCCCTCCTCCGTCGCTCCCCCCGACTCGTTCCAGATATTCGATACTCCGTCTACCATGGCTGATACCGTGACGAAATACCGCGAGGTTGCGACGCCACCGAAGGAGCGAGCGTGCATGTGCGTACACGAGCATATACAAGCGCTGCTCCGCGAACATTGTCGCGTCGCGAACAGAAAGTGGCGTTCCTCCGCGTCCCCTTCAAGGACGTTAAGAATCACCCCGCGCTCCTCCCCGGTATTATAATCAGCAGAACCGGCCGGAAAGGCTCTTCGACAATGGGAGACGGTCCAGAAAGGGTGAGGGATTTGAGGGCGCGTTACCTCGACCTTAAGACCGGATGCTCTAACCGTCCCTAAGTCCTTTTAAGCAAATCTCCTTTCTCCGTATACTTCCCGCAGGTGAGATTATTATCGCTAGAAAGGAACGTTGTTAGTAACTTAGCAGGTAACTTAGTAACTTAGTAATCTAAATGGTAACTTAGATTTCTCGAATCCAACGTATTGTCACATCCCGACGTTTTTTTTTTAACGTTCTTGGCGAATTTGCGCTACGTTAATCGTACATGCCAACACGTCGTGATCCTTTAACGCTCTAGTTCCGTTCCGAGCCTCTTGCGAACTCAAACATTCTTGTACTGTTGCAGCGATCATCTGTAATATTCATACCTATGTGTGAATTAAGGCTCCTGGCCCCTCGCATTGTCTATCTCTTTTTAATGACGTCAGAAGCGAGAAAATGCATGCTAAAAATTCTTGCGAAATATATTGAAATAAAAATATATATCCATAAAGTAACACTTGCAATCGATTAAACAAATTTGTAAGATATTCCGTGCACTCCCCTTTTGCTCTAACAATCAATAATTTATTGTAAATTAATCTGAATAGAAACAGGCGAAGAAATAGGTTAAGAAGATAAATTGTATGTCACGTTAATTTACGACAAATTATTGATTTCAGAGCAAAAGCGGAATGCGGAATATCTTACAAATTTGTTTAATCGATTGCGAGTGTTCAAAAATTTTTAGCATGCATTTTCTCGCTTCTGAGAAGCGTCATTAAAAAGCGATAGACAATGCGAGGGGCCAGAAGCCTTAAGTCGTATATTGACATGATTCACATATTTTGGGCACTTTAATCGAGCATTAGGGTTGTTTTTACCCTCGCTTATTTATATCCCGTGAAAGTACTAGTGACAACCTATAAGATATAACAAATATACTTTCTAGTCTGTGAAATAAAATTATAGAAAACCTCGAAATATAACGAAAAAAAAATCATCTTTATTTTACACCTGGACATCATCTGGCATACTGGAGTTAAAAACGATTCCATAGAAATTGTGCCTTTTTATTATATGACAGGCAGTTGAAACGATCCAACAGAAAGTGTTTAGATCTCACATTCCCATCAACTTTCTTTAATGTCTGAGCCGAAAGTCCTCATTTCACTAGTTAGCGAGTAATCCGAAGTAAGATCGAAAATGAGTCTGATATGTTCTGGATTAGGATCAAAAGTATACATTTTTTATGTGTTAATATACATACCGTGTACATAACATAAATTAACGTCTTGGATTGTGTAAAATTCTGATGTTGACTCTGTCGTCGACGCGACACAGTTCAAAGAAGACAAGTGTAAACACGTTTGGGAGGGTAAATAGTAGGAGTTCCCGAATCCGCGGATGTAAATGCGACAACGAAAGAAAGTGTTGCACACAACGTTAGAAAGTAACGAGTCGTCAAACGTAACTAACGCTGTCGTCGAATGTCCACAACTTAAATAGACCATCCACTCGGCGCGACATTATACTTTTAAAGCAACTCGATACTTAACGGCTATAAATATTCATAACGCTTCGTGAAACGCGCCGTGGTAAGGCAAAGTGAAAAAGCGAGAGCAGCAGCAGCAGCAGGAGGAGGATAAGGAAGGAGTAATGGTTGCCTCAGTCGCGCTAAAAGGTCGTTCAAAATTTCTCCCGCGATTACACTCGGCCGCGCGTGCAACGCCCCGATGTTGCGAATTTTAATTGAGCGAGATCGTCGTGTTTGAAAGCGGATAATAGCACTCCGTTACCATCGCATTATAAGTACGCAATTTTCCGCGTTTGAACTTTCGACCTGAGTCATTTGTCACACCAGAAGAGTACTGTTTTGATTTTAAAAACCTCTCCATTTATCACATTTCGTAGGGTTGTACACGAATTTTCGAATTCTAATGTGCATACCGCGATCAATGTCAGTGCTTCTGCCAGACATTGCCTTCTAGACGAATTGCACGTAAATTACCGAGAATAAATTTTAAACTATTATTTTAGTATTTCTAGAATAATGTCATGGTCTTGTAAAGACTTTCAAAATAATTGAACATGTGAGGCAGTGGACAAAATTCTAAATTTTTGGAACTCTGGCGAGTTTGCAGACGAGTTTCAGTCTCACTATTTATTAAAACATTCTTTATCGATTGGTACCAAAATTTATTTATTTGACTCCAGACGAAGGAGAACGGTCCTTTGTGACTTTGAAAATTATATTTGCGAACTCGTTAGGGTTCCAGAAATTTGGAATTTTGTTCCATATGTTCAGTGTCTTTGTTTGATCACTTTAAAAATCTTTACCATGGCATCATTTTAAAAATATCAAAATAATAATTAAAATTTCGATCTAAGTCACTTGTCACACCAAGAGATGATTTTGATTTTGAAAACTTCTCCACTTGTCACTTCATAAGTTGTACTCGGATTTCCAAATTCCAACGTGCATACGGCGAGGAATGTCAGTGCTTCTGTCGGACACTGACAGACTTCTGACTAATTGCACGTGAATTACTAAGAATAAATTTTAAATATCATTTTGATACTTTTAAAACGATTCCATGGTCCCGTAAAAACCTTCAAAGTGACCAAGTAAAGACACTGAACATATGGGGCAATGGACAAAATTCTAAATTTCTGGAATTCTGACGAGTTTACAGACGGAATCTTCGGTCTTAACATTTCTTAAAACATTCTTTACCGATTAGTATCAAAATTTATCTATTTGACTCGGGACAAAGGAGAGCAGTCCCTTGTGAGACTTTATTACTTTGACCATCGTGGCACGCGCATTTGCTGTGCCATAATATTCGCCAGCGTTCGATCAAACGAAAGGAAATTAGGTAACTGCCAAGATAAAAACAAATATCGCGGTCGATCGCGATATCACATCGGCTCGCCGCTGCTAGTCGAATCTGCGGCCATGGCTGCTCGTTGTCGCGGTTGTTTGTTGTCGGTATGAACGGCAGGTACCTAGGAAAAACTTTCCCGAAGGCCCAATTCCCACGATCAGTCGGCGGCTTGGCAGCGCGTGCATACACACATAGGCAGGTACGCGCAGCCTACGTACATCCTGCGCACAATGCGCGAGGTGCACGTGCGCACGCGCGCACACGTTCCTTTGGAAAGCGGCGGGAAAAAGCGTGAGGCGACGGAGAACTCGGTCGCTACTTCGCGACGTGCGGACGCGTCGCCGCGATGCGAGAGTGAAGAAAGGGAGGAGGAGGAGGTCGTGAGAGTTGATGCCCCCGCGACGCACCGGATCGCCGTGTATGCACACGTGCATACGTACGTACTTGTGTAAGAAATGGAAAACCTAAGTGAAACTGAGCCCGTAACACCGCGAGAGTCCGAGAAAGACAAGATTTTGACACCGCTAATGGCCACCACTGTCAACGCCGGTTAAATTCGTAGCCTTGATTTGAGTATTCTAGTATTCTCTCGGCACGCGTTAACTGCCATGTCATTTCTGTACGAGTGACGCATGCATTCCACTGGGGGTCGCGTCACCCGACACGGTCTTACTTTCATTTGTGTATGTGAGAGAGAAAGATTTCGAACGATACTAAAAAGTACTTGTAAAGGACTCACACACGATAACAGCGATAAAATCTTATGGAAACAATGGAAGAGGTGATTATTAACTCTTCAAGTGAGTAGATCATTTATACCCGGATGTAATAACTTTGCATTTTGCCTCATCCCGAAATTTTCAAGGTTTTATATGTACTTCAAAGGGAAGTTAGTATACAAGAGCATTTGAGGCTCAGTAGCGACAAAATTCGTTGATTACTGTCGATGCAAACTAATCCTAGACACGAGTAACTGCCTTATTCACTTAACGTAGACTTTTTACGTAGATAGGTAAAAATTTGTTTTTTTTTTTTTATATTGTTTATCTCAATGGTCTTTCAAGTTTTTATAATATATTTAACTAATGTGGTATTTTTGAATTTTTACAAGGCCGTTAAAGAGGACAAAGATGGGAACGGTAGCAAGTTTTTGCTGTTGTATATTTTTATATTAAATTCATTGAAAAAATGTTTATACAATGTATAAAAATGTTTTTTCTATATTATTTGGCCTCATTATACAAAAATACACTATTTTCATATACCGAAATAATTCGATATTTTTTTCAAAAGAGATATTTTTTATAATTTAATTTAATCAATTATTAGTCTTAAATATAAAAAAATCGTAAATATCATGTTTCAAAAAAAATTACAAAAAATTATGTTTCTTTTTCACGAAATAACATATTTGATAAGTTTTTGTTTAAAAAATTTTTTAAATCACAACTTTTTTAACAATTTTATAATTATTAATGGGAATACGAAAAAGAAGCCACATGAATTTTTTCAGAATGTTTCAATAATTTCAAGTTAAAAAAATGCATCAGATAAGAGTGACCCTATTAAAGCACAAAAAATATTTATTCACCGTAAGGGTTAATTTTAGGCTACGTTCCGAAATTCATTACCAATGCTGAAATTCTATAATACACGTAACATGAACTATAGATTTTCAGTACTGGCAGTGAATTTGGGAACGCAGCCTTAATCAATCGTTAACAATGTCGACTTAAACCTGGCTTAGAACCGAGTGTATGTAGCGAACAACATATCGATAGATTGAGCTTTATGCAACAACGAGCCTAAGGACGGCAGAGGTACGATTTTGAAAGAGAGGTCAATCGCTCCATTAGTAGTTTCGAGCGGTACGTGTGACCACGTGGAATATCGCCAGAAGCGGGCCTGTGACGCGATCTACCTGGTATCCCCGATCTATATTTATAGCGAGAACGACCGATGGGATATGCGATCAATCGTGTTCGCTGCCAAGTGCTGTCCGTACCTTCGATTCTTCCTGCTCGGAACGATTCCGACGAGGTGCCGGCCCGAAACAAATTATCCGAATATTATTACCGATCCTGCGACATTAGTGGAATAGTAAAAGCAGCATAGATTTATTAATAGAGTCGCCAGTTAAATACCACCATCTTGACGGTGCTGTCCATTGGAATTGTTTAAGGGGATGCCAAAGTGGACGACGAACTCGAAAAATATCGATAACGTAGATCGTCACTAACACGATACTGTTACCTTCTCGTATTTCTTGTATTACATGTAGGACGACATTTATAGTCGAATCTGATATTTAAGATCGTATCAAGTTTATCTTCACATGTTCCGTAGCCAACAAAACAATCCATACATTACCTGAAGATGAATTTAAGACGATCTTAAATATAAGATCCGACTGTGAATATCAACCATAGATCTTATATAAATATGTGCTGCTCTGTTTTATTATGTTAGCGGAAAACAAACCACGCATATATAAGAATCTTTCTGCACATATTAACAGGGTTGCCACAGACTTGTAAAACCGGCAAAATTTTGAAAAATAATTTTAAAAACTGAGAAAATCTGAAACAGGAAAAGATATAAAATAGAATTTTGAACTTTGCTTACAGTCGCGACTCAGAACCACGCCGAGAAAGCAGACTCGATCGCGTAAGTTAGAAGTTTATTGGCTACCGCGTCACTTCTTAATAAAATAAATTAAAATTTACATTCCATTCTATTTTTACTCAATCGCTTTTTCCCTCATAACGGCATTCTTCTTTCTAATACTCATTTTTTTGTTAACTTCAATTTGCATTCAGGATTATATTTTGTTACTTAACTTTCTCCAAGTTTGTGTTGCTTTTAATAATATAAGCTACTTTTCCCGCAATCTCTGTTTCTAAACGTTAAGACGTTTAAAATTACATGTCGATCATAGAAAATTCACCATTGTCGTCTTGGAGAACATGAAAAAATCAGGAAATTTCAAAATTCATTTTCTTCTAAATTCTAAATTCGTTTTCTGTGAAATTTCAAAATTCATTTTCTTCTAAATTCTAAATTCGTTTTCTGTGCGATTCTAGCATCGGTAACGCGTATCGCCGAAGTCGAAGGTCGATATTTTCAGAAACGCGCGAGCATATCGCGCCGAGCTTCCCCTCGCCTTTTCCTTCCCAAGGACGGTCCTTTTCATTCTCAAACGCGAGCATGTTATTCGCGGTGCCGTCGCACTGCTGCGTGCGTACAGGTGCCGCGTAAGAATGCCGCGCGCGATCATTTCGCGCACGCATAAATCATTCGAGATTTAATGCTGCGGCGTAACGAGTTCTCGCCTCGGTCGCGACGATCGCCGTCGCCGTCCCCGTCGTCTAAGGTGAAGGCTGGTGAAAAAGAGCGAGTTCCTTTCTCTCCTTCTTGAGACGGTGGACGCGCGGGTCCCGTGTGACGCAGATAGAAGGTAACCGCGCCGGGAATTAATCTCGTTCCGCATAAAGTATAAACCGGAGATAGTAAAATATGCGCGCTCGCGACTCCCCCGGTCTATCTTCCCCGTCGTCCTCCTCTTTGTACGCCGCGTTGTATGCGCGTATGTCCCGCGGAACG